GCCGTATTTCATGGGGGGGGGCGCTTTACAGTGATGGGGGACCGCCCCCCCCAGCTACAGTCGGGATAATGAGATCCGGGCCCCGCTGGCCTGGGAATCCGCTGCTGCAGCCACACTGGGGCATGGGACCCAGGAGTCCGACAGCTCCCTGCTGGGCCCAGAGCCTGACTGTCCGGAGAACTGGGCCCTGCGGCTCCGAAGGGGTAGGACGCTGGTGCCGTGTGAACCGACGCGGCATCCGCAGCTGCAGGTGACTCGGGTCGGGCGCAGTGGGACGGGGCTGGAAAGATGCCACGGAAGCAGAGAGGGGAACCAGGGCTTGGGCAAGGTGAGGTAGGAGGGGCGGTTCACAGCCCGACTGGAAGGAGGAAGTGACGCTGGCTGGAGAGGGATTAGGCTGGTCCCAAGCCAAACCGGGTACAAGATTCAGGTTTCAAATAGGAGCATGCAAATCTCCCCCCACATGCATGGGAGGCCAGCGCTTCATACTGGTTCTGCGCCCCGGGGATCTGCCCGTGTGGCCACGCACAGGCTTCCGGGCCCTGCACCTCGCACTTGCGTGCAGCCCTGACTCACCTGCGCTTGCTAGCTTGGAGTCGGGGGATGAGTAATCCTCATCAGGAGAACAATGGGTTAGTCAGCGCTTCGCAGGGCTAGTGATGACTTCATTTTCAAAGGGCATTTAGGGCAATCGACATGTAAAATGAACTGAGGGGCAATGTTCCGTGGCCTCCAACCAGAAATTGCAACCTGACCTTTGCCAGCTCTTCTGGGTGCCTCAGTTTCCCCTTTGTGAGGAGGAGGAGAATGTCTTACCCCTGCTGGGGAGGAGGGTCAGGGTTTGCGCTGTGTTACCAGAACTGTGAGCCAGGCCGTAATACGTTAGCGCCGCAGAAGCCCTGCGCTGGCGACTGTGGAGAGGAAACACTTTTAGAGACAACGTTCCAAATCTTTCTGAGATGCTTGTGGAACGTTTCCGGCTCCTACAAGTTCAGTCCCTGGGCTTCTCTGGGGGGCAGCCAGATCTCTGCTTCGGCTGGGATTTCTGGCCACTGTAACCTCTCCTTAAGAAATGAGACGCTGTTTTCCAGACCTTGCAGCTGGCTGTGCTCTCGCTAGACTCGCCTCCCCTACGGGGTTAAAAACGGCTGACCACAGCCCTTCAAATTACAGCTCTTGCGGCTGCTTATCGGGCGTGTTTTTCCGTGAGTCAGATGGCTGGAGCTTGCTGGTTTAATCTGGCTTAAAGGGGGAAAAGGGCCTTCTATTGAAAGAATCGGCCTGAAGCGGAGGTTGAATTGGCTCAGTGAGGGTTACACAATCGCTGGGGGACCGTGGATCAGGGACTGAAAGGGGGAATTTGCATGTTTCCATGGGGCCAGTCAGGAATGTTCCCTGGCGCTGGAGGCTAGCCTGCCGGGATAGAAACTCGCGGGACCCAGTCAGAAGCAACAGTTCGGTTACTAGGCTGCAGCTGAGAACTTGCTGCCTCGTCACATGTCTGACATCAGTTCAAATCTGCTTTGACCCTGCAAGCCAGAGCTGCTTTGACTCTCTGCTTTGACGGCCCAGCCAGCCTGTACTGTGGCTTCTCTGCTGCTGTGGTCAAGGAAAAAACCTTGTCTGGCCTGGTTCGGGAGCCTTGTGTGATCTGGTAGAGGCCTTGGCTAAAGAAACGGTTCCTTAACAATCACGGCATATTCTTCCCACCTGGGGGAATGGTACTTGGGTGTCAGGGCCAGCTCCCTTCCTGCTGGGTTCCTCATGGCTCCTCTCTGGCCTAGAGACGGTCTCCTGGAGGTGTTTGCACTGCAGGTCACGTGGCTCATTCATAAATCTAATCTCGCACCG